GTCCACCAGCTATGATAAGGCAGGTCTTGACACTTTTTTGAAACTCAGAAGGCTTAAAATTTAAATGTCTCTGTAGACAAGATAAACACACCTACTGCTCAGCGGTTCAGCAGCTCAGCAGAGAAAGGGAAACTTGGCAGAGGGCCCAGAACTTTCCCCACCCCAGTCCTCCCTAAACTTCCTCTTGTGGTTTCTCAAGAGTACAACCTGTCCCCATTGCCAAGCTGCCAAGCGAACAAACGAGCGCCTGAGGCAGGGGGCTGGGGCATATCAAGAGTACCACTGCACCCGACCCTGTGAAAGAGGTGGGGGGGGAAGGTGGTGTGATGAAGGAACAGCCTGGCAGTCTGTATAGTTCTGATATTTCACATCCTGCTTACCTGTTATCTGTGTGGCCACCTTTCATTTCACAGCATCCACACTCACCTGGCTCTGCCTCACAACACAGACTCCTCTCAAAGACCAAGTGGTCTGACTATAGGCAAAGGCCCTTGTGAGAAACCTGGAGTTTCATAAAGGTGACAGGAATATGGGGGGTGGGAAGCTAGGGAAACTCTGCCCCAGCCAGTCTTTTCCCAGCCTGCCCTGAGGGGATGGGTCAGAGACACAGACTTGACTTTGGGATGCAACAGCTTCAGGGATGAGAAGTGGTGAACATAAGTTATGGACTGATTTATAACCCACGCCACCCCCACCTAAATGTGTACTGGAATCTAAACCCTGAAACCTGGGGCTCTCATCTCATTAGGGAATGGGGTTTTCCTTATTCTATGAATGAGGCCCTGTCCATGTAAGTTGTGTCCTAAGCCTAATTAATCACTGTTTATTTATGAGGAGCTGCACAGACCCAGAGACAGATGCCACAAGATCACCACCAAGCAACCAAGGATTGTGGGCCACTAGACTTTCAAACCGAGTCCTGGTGTGCCGCTGTGGGATAATGCACTGGACCACAAGGTCGGCGGTTTGAACTCACCAGCTGCTCCTCAGAAACTCTATACAGGGTCACTATGAATCAGAACTGACTCGACTTGATGGTACTTAACGACAACAACAACAACAACAAGAATCTCAAACAGCCGGAGAAGGACCTCTTGTTAGTATCACACTCTGAATTTAGACTTCTAGCCTTCAGAACTCTGCAAAAACAACATTGCCATTTTCTAACACCACCCACTTGTATTTCTGTGACAGTTGCACCAGGAAACTAAGCCAGCATTTTAGGATTACTGTACTTCCACTCCTTGACCACCTGCCACTTAGCCACTGACTGTTCCTCCTGGAATCCAGGGAGGAGGATCTCTGCTGGTCTTAAAGATTCCCACAAAAAAGAGGTCTTGGTTCCCCACAGAGCTAGGCTCTGGCACACCACATCCCATGGTGAGAAGTTCTGTCTTGTATCTAACCTTGGCTCCTCCTGGGTCCTTCCTCTCACTATGTGGTGTGTGAGGCTTCACCAAGGAAACAAAGCATGCTCTGGGCCACCAACAAAGGAGGGCAGCTCTGTGCAGTGCTCACAAGCCTGCTCCTGGTCTATGGGGGCTCCCTGTAAACACCTCAGTTCACAGGCTGCTGCTCGTGTCCCTATGTATTACCCAAGCATGGAGGGCTATGGACTCCTCTTGGGAAACTCCTAGGCCCCTGACTTCAGTGTACCTTTTATGTGGTCAGTCGAGGATGCAAGCAGGTTGAGAACAGAGGCTCCCAAGCAAAGTGTTGTTGTTGTTGTGAAGTACCATTGAGTCGGTTCCGACCTATAGCAACCCTGTATAGGATTTCCAAGGAGCAGCCAGTGAGCTTGAACCGCCAACCTTGCAGTTCAAACTGCTTTGCAGTCTGGCGCATTAACCCACAGCGTCACACCTGGATTAAATCACAGCTCTGCCATTTCTTTCTTGGGTCTGTTTTCTCATGTATAAAATGGAGATCATCCTAGTGCCTACTAGGACTGCTATTGTGGGGTGCCATTGAGTCAAGCCTGCCTCATAGTGACCCCATTTGACAGAGGAGAACTGCCTCAGGTGGTTTTCTTGGCTGTAACCTTTTAGAGAGCAAATGGCCAGGTCTTTCTCCCTCAGAGCAGCTGGGTAAGTGCAAACTGCCCACCTTTTTGTTTTGCAGCTGACAGCTTAACCATTGTATCACCAGGGCGCCTTCACAGGACTGTCAGGAGGATCACAGGAGTAAGGATAACTAAGCATTTAGAAGAAGGCCAGATACTAGTACCCTGCTAGTATTGTGAGCCCTGGAGGTAGGAGAGAGTCAGAGTCCTAAAGGCAATGGCACCAGCTGGGATTTGTGCAGGAAGCCTCAGACATGCTCTCCCCACTTCATTCTCAGTTTCCCAGGATAGTGGCTCCAACTTGTTTACCATCATATCCCCAACACTTAGTCAGTGCAAGTACATAGTACAGCCCCAGCAAAGGGAGCCCAGGAATTGAATGAGCAGAAGACTGCAAGAAAGCAATGGAGATCCAGTTTTCCTCACACATGACTCACCCCAAAGAGAAAGGAAGTAGGGGACATGGGGCAAGGATGGGGTGGAGGAACCAATTAAGGACCCTGTGGTCTATCGCACCAAATCACATCACACACACACACACACACACACACACACACACACACACATCCCACAGACAGGATCCTCCCAGCTGCACTGTGGTGCTGGAAATGCCTCAGTTCTTGGGCACCAGCATAAAAACTTGTCTTTCCCAGAATTTATCCTGCTCATTCCCTTCTATTCATGCCTAGACTGTAGGATAAAGAGGGGAGGAATTTCATCTGTCTGCATGTCCACTGTACCCAATGCCCCACACCATAGTGTTCAGTATGTTGTTGTTGTTGTTGTTGTTGTTGTTAAGTGCCGTCGAGTCGGTTCCGACCCATAGCGACCCTGTACAGGGTTTCCGAGGGTGTAAATCCTTACGGGAGTAGAAAGCCTCATCTTTCTCCCGCGGAGCGGCTGGTAGTTTCGAACCGCTGACCTTAAGGTTCGCAGCCCAATTCGTAACCACTAGCTTTGGGGAATGAGTAAGTGCCCCCATATTCTTCTCTGCCTCTTGAACATTCATCTTTCAGGACCCAACTCAATTGTCCCTTCTCTCTGAAGCCTTCCTCAGCCAGGGGACTTGGCACATATATCTCCTGTGTAGACCGACACTAGCAGTGGATGAACAACAGCATTGCATCCTCGGCACCCCGCACAATGCCCAAGCATTCAGTAGGTGCTCAATCCGAGCTTACAATGAGTCAATTAATGCTTTCTTAATAAAAGTAACCAATTTCTTCAATTTTCTCCTCAAAAACACACAGGAAGATTGGACGGCCATCACCTGTCAGGGCATCAGACATCACAGAGGGAGAACACTAAGGAAACCTCCTCCCTCAGCCCGGGTTGCGGGAGCACCCCTAGGCTCCATGCCCACACCCCTCTCTCTCTGCGAAAGAGGAATCAGGACCGCGCAGCGAAACCACTTGGTTTCCAGGTCACATTGGAGCGGAGCTCTGAGGATGGACGGAATAGAAAAACTCAAGCCGAAGGAAAATTGAGTACAGCTCTGGGGACCAATCGGGAGATGAGGAGGGCGCGGCAGCCCCCATACCCACTCACCTCTGACACTCCCCTCAGGTCTGCAGCCTGAGCTTCGGAGCTCCAACGAAGCGGGGCGAGGCTGACGCACCATCTCTCCTGGCTTCTCCAGTTCCCAAACCTACCTCCTTAGCAAGTGAACTCCACGGAGCACGGGATGTGGACGCAGACCCGAGCTCCTGCAGCCTCTGGTTTGTGTTCTTGGGGAGAGGCTTGCATCCCTCTCCCGGCGCCCAAACAGAGGCCGTCTCCACCCCCGCCGACGCGAAGTGTTTACAAGTCCGCATCGAGCGGCGGATCCCTAGTAGAAAGCTGGGCAGGAAGTGGGGCAGAGGGGGCGGGAGATACAAGGGGCTGGGTGCTCCCCCGGCTGCTGTCTGCTTCACCACCCCGCTCCCGCCCCACCCCCGGAATCGTGCCCCCCTCCCCCCCGTGCATCCACCACCAACCCCCCGCCCACCCTCAGAGGCTCAGGCGTGGAGGGCACCGACATCTACCTGCTGGGCGCTCGCCAAAGATCGCCACGCGTTACCCAGGAAATAAATAGCAACATGAAGCACACTTTCTACAACTCTTACCAGACGTCAGGCACTGCGACAAACCCTGTCTGTACATGACTTCACTTTCTCCCTGATACCAGTTCCACCCCCGTTTTACAGATAGAGGAAACTGAGGCATAGTGAGTTGAGCTCATTGTTCAAGTTAGGTAGCTAGCGGGTGTCACGATTCAAAGCCAGCGTCAGCACCAGCGTCAGCTAGGAATAGGGGGCGGGAGAGTGAGGGTCCCTGTCAGAGGAACCCCCAGGCCAGTGGGGTTTGATGAAAACCGCGGACGGTCGCGTTCAGGCGCGACGCCTTGAGAGCGAGGCGGGAAGGCACTGCTTTCGCTGGCGGGCCCCGCAAATGTGTCCGGATTGAGGGCGAGAAGGCAACGGGAAGTACGAGTGGGAAGACCTGGATTAGGTTTCCGTCAAGGGTCTTCTTGTACAAAATCACTAGGTTGGACGCTTCAGAGCTTTCCAAAATGACATCTCAGGACAACCACCTGGGGAGCTAGGTGACAAAACGAATTCTTAGGACCCCCTCTTCCTTAGTGAATCTCTGGGCCTGGGTTGGACTCGACCAGGTGTTGCTAATAATCAGGCGAGTTTGCAAAGCGTCCGAGTGTAGACAATCTTCTGGTTCATATCGAAATAGGTTACTTTTAACTAGTAAAACTGAGTACATGTTTTCTTGGCTTATCCTGAGCCCACTAGGGCCCGTGAACACTTTGTTTTCAGAAGGTCAGGTGAGCCCGAGCATCCACAGGACCCCAGGCCCGGCACTACTACAGACAGGCTCACACCACCCTGCCCCGCCCCCTCCCGCCCGACGACTACAAATCCCATCTCGCCTTGCGCTCACACTCATTACGCCAGAGCAAGATGGCCGAGACGGCGGCTCCAGTTGGAGCCGGTAGCTCCGGAACGGTAAGGACAGGAGGTGCAAGGCCGAAGCCGAGAGAGTCTGGCTGTTCCCTAACTATCCCTAGGGCCTGGGCAACAAGCTTAAACCCACAGATCTGACTCCACTAGAAGCTTCGAGTGGAGGAGGAGCCTTCAAATCATTTGGTCTCCCCCTTCTTCGGACTTGGAGGCGGCTTCCTGAATTGGAGGACCTGTTTCCTGATTGGCTAGTTCCTTGTTGGAGGGTTGGGAATCTGGAACAATACATGACTGGTCCGAAGAGATCGTTTTCGCCTTCTTATTGGCCAACCGAAGTTGGGGACGATTCTCCTTTAAAAATAGTCCGCTTACCTGTTTTCCCTTGAAAATGAATGGATTCCGACTCATAGCGACCCCTGTATAGGTTTCCAAGGCTGTAAATCAAAACGGCAGCAGAAAGTCTTATGTTTCTTCCCAGGAGCGGCTGCTAGATTTGAACTACTGACCTTATAGTTAGCAACCTAGCTAATAATCCACTCTGCTACCCAGGCTCCTAAAACTGAATTAATGTCAATATGCTAAAATAGGAAAGAAAAAACAGGCTTTATGCACTGAGTTTACTGTAATTGTAGAATCATTTTGAAAAACAGGGATAAGGATTATACAACATGAAGAGTATAATCATTTCCTTTGAATTATGCATGTAGAAACTGTTGAATTAGGGAATGTTTTGCTGTGTATAATTGCTTGTTGAGAGTCACTCCCAAAATATCAGTGGAGGGGGGAGAGGGAGCAACCTGTATGTGTTACTGGAATTGTTAAATTCAGGTAGGTAGAGGTTGTCTGTATTTAGACTATCTTGGGTGTTATGAAAGGAGCCTTGGTAGTACAGTGGGTTAAATGTCAGACTACTTGCAAGGTTGATAGTTCAAACCCACCAGCCCCTCTACAGAAGAAAGATGAGGCAGTCTGGTCCCATAAAGGTTTACAGTCTCAGAAACTCTGTTGAAGCAGGTCTCCTATCCCCTGCAGGGCTCAGAGTCTAATCTACTCAATGGCAGTGGGTTTGGGGTGTAATGAGTGTTCAGTTACTAGGAGTGACTTCTTTTTATTAATCCTGTTGACTCATCGTGACCCTATAGAACTGTAGAACTTCCCCATACGGTTTCCAAGGATGTAATCTTCTACAGAAACAGCCTGCTACCGCTTTCTCCCACGGAACAGCTGGTAGGTTTGAGCCACCAACCTTTGAGTTAATAGTCAAGTGCTTAACCACTGTGCCATCAGAGTTCCTTACCTTTTATTAAACACTAATAGATAAGCATTTGGCAAAGTGTGTGAACTACACGATTGCACTCTTGTCCTGTGGATGAACATCTCTCTGGGTTGCTGCTTCACAGAGATCAGGAAGTAGACAGTCCACTAACCCAGCTGATAACTACCATCTGGCCCGAAGGCGAACCCTGCAAGTGGTTGTGAGCTCCTTACTGACAGAGACAGGGTTTGAAAGTGCCGAGAAAGCGTCTGTGGAAACGTTGACAGAGATGCTTCAGAGCTGTAAGTACCAGGAAACAGTAGGCTTTGTTTGCATGAATCCAGGCATCTGTTGTGTGCCCTGCATTGTGATAATGTGAGAGAATTTAAGAAAAAGTAGAACATAGTCAAGTGATTCACAGGCTTTAGAAATCAGGTAGGCTTGGGTACAATCATCACATTGCCATTTCATAGCTTGGGCAAGTCACTCAACCCTCTGGACCTCAGTTTCCTCATTTGTGAAAGGGAATAATAATTTGCACCCCATGGAGTTGTGAGGATAAGTGAGAGAGGTGTGTAGATGTTTAATGCTGGGAACACTGTAGGATCTTGACGATTTGTACATGCCCTGTTACTGTTGTTTTGCTCTCTCTGCTCAAAGAACATTCCATTTTGTTGGGGAGCCAAGTCAAATTTCCATGAAGTAGATGCTGGCACATCGTATAAACAAATGTACTATGTGATACCAAGATTGAAGAGAAATCAATTTTATTGAATGGAATGGTGGTGGTGGTATGCTGTGGAGTCAGTTCTGACTCATATCCATCCTGTATAGGGTTTCTGAGGCAGTAAATCTATGGGAGTAGAAAGCCTCGTCTTTCTCCCACAGAGCGTCTGGTAGATTCAAATTGCTGACCTTTTGTTTCACAGCCCAACATGCAACCACTGTGCTTGAGGTTTAGAAAGGAACCCTGGTGCTGAAGGATAAACTAATAACAAGGTCTGCAGTTCTAACCCACCAGCTGCTCCAAGGGAGAAAGATGAGGCTTTATGCTCATGTAAAGATTTACAGCCTCATAGCCCCTATACAGGGTTGCCATGAGTTGGAATTGGCTCAATAGCAGTACATTTGGTTTTTTGGTTTTGAGTTAGGGTGTCATATAGACTTTACTGCATGTATAGTGGACTTCCTGTTTGGAACTTTTATTCTGGCAGGGGTGAAGCAGGGTAAAGGATCAGGGTTCTTATGGTTGTTTTTTAGGGGTAAATATCTGTAGCACTATAGGATAAGTACTGGAGTGTTAACCGCAAGGTCAGCAGTTCAAACCCAGTGCTGTTCTCGGAAGCTCTATACAGGGTTGCTGTGAGTTGGAACCGACTCAGTGGTACACAGAACAACACATCTGTTAAACGAAGTGAGAGAAAGGTTTGGGCAGAGGGAGAACTGCAGTACAGTCCTGACAAAGACAGTCAAATCCACAGGAACCTGGAGCATTAAGTACCCATCAAGAGTGTCCCACATCAGGCCACAATGGCCCTGCATTTGTATTCTCATCCTGATCAGTCACTAGATGTGGGCATAATCTCTGGGAACAGCTCTCCGCAGCTGATATGTGGGACTTAATAAGATCAAATGTTTTCCTAAAGTAGTGATCTCAAGACCCCTTTAGATTCTTAAATGCTGAAGACTCTGAGGAACTTTTGGATCCATGGACTTTCTCTCTCTCTCGCTATATATGCATAACCATATATATGTATATACCATATTTGCTGTATTAGTACATAACAGTGCATAAGTCATGATGTCATCACAGGTCAAATAGCCTCTGCAAAACTCCTCATAAGAAGTTGAGGGTCAAAAAGGCACATAATACCTTAGTTTTATTAAAAAAAAAAATAATAATGTTGATCTTGTGGACTTCAGAAAAGGATTGCAAGGACTCTTAGGGGTTCCTAGACCACAGTTGAGAAAGGTTTTCCTGAAGGAATGTACTCAGCATTCCCCACAGACTAGAATTCAAGTCTCAAAAAGATCTTGGAATTGAGAGTTAATTGCTCACCCTAGATAAGTATAGTTCTCTCTGATATCACTGGATAAGAGACCGTTTTTTCTTTAAGAGGAAATGGATTGTTTTGCATCTTGACTGCAATCACTTTGTTCCTCGGGACTGCAGTCCGAAGACTGGCTTCAGAGCAGAGTCTCCATGTTTTTTCTATATTTGCTGTACATGTTCTTTCCCATCCCCAGACCTGCTGGCCTGTATGGGAAATACCAAATGGGGGAAGATAATGTTAACTTCTGTCTGGCTTGATTTCTACAATATTACACCAGGATTTGCTTTAGATTCTCTACCCTCCCCCCTCCCCACCCCCCTCCACACACACAAACATACTGTCTTTTGTTTTCTTGTGTGGAGTGTAGTATGTGTGGCTTGCTCTGGGTAGTGTGGGGAGTTGGTGGCAGGTCTTCAGTTAGTTCCTTTTCCCTGTCCAGAATCACATGTTTTTTTCTTTTGAACCATCAGACCCTACAGTCAGCAGTTTTTTATTCCTTTTGGGGCCCCTTTGTGCATCTGATGAAAGCTGTGACCCATCCCCCAGAGAAAGATGTTTCTTTCTATGTCTGATAATCACAACTTTAGAGTATTCCTAGAAGCCTCCTTCCACTGCCAAATCCCATTCCTGGAGCCCAGTTTCATAAACTCTAGTTTAGATACTTTCCCATGACTATCACTGAAGTTTCAGCTTCAGGCAGAAGGAACAAAACCCCACCCACCAGAGCACAAGACTGTGTGTGTTTGGTTCCTTAGACATTTCGGAAATTGGGAGGAGTGCCAAGTCTTACTGTGAGCACACAGCCAGGACACAGCCCACACTGTCGGATATCGTGGTCACACTTGTGGAGATGGGTGAGTACACCTCCAGTTTCCACTTTCTCAGTGCAGCCGAGTTGGAATCACAAAAGAGGGAGGACTCTACATGCCAGCGGTGTCTCTGCTGGGTAGTCTTAGATGCCTGCTTTGGCATTTAGCTTGAGAGTTATCAAGAGAGGATTCCCCTGAGCTCTTTAAGAGCCCTCCTAATGGAGGGGATTGTAACCATGGCAATGAGACAATATATGATAGAATGAATGTAAAATTAATGTTCTCCCATATAAACTATCACATAATTCACAATAAAACATTTAAGAAAAAAAAAAAGAGCCCTCCTAACTCTCTATTGTGGATTCAGCAAAGAGAGACATTGGGTGTGGAAACCATTTTTCCTCCCATTTCCATGTTCCAATATCTAGTAGTCTGGATAGCAACATTTGTTTTCCTATCTCCTAGGCTTCAACGTGGACACTCTCCCTGCTTATGCAAAACGGTCTCAGAGGATGGTTATCACTGCCCGTAAGTTTTTGTAGGTGCTCAAGTAATGCTTATGGAATGAGTAGTTGAGGAGGGTAGGTATGGCAGCTACTTCTTTGTTGCAGGCTCCCTTATGTTCTTCAGGACTGCCTACTTATAATCTTTATCTAGGCTAAGTAGGATTAGGATGAGAAGTTCACTTATCAGAAAGGCAACCAGTCTCAGAAATGTTGTGTAGTTTTTGTACAGATTAAAAAACGGACACATTCTTCTTCTTCCTTAGGTCGGCAGTCAATGAGCTATGGCCTGGGCCAAATCCAGCCTGCTGCCTTTGTTTTGTAAATAAAGTTTTATTGAAGCACAGCCATGCTCATCTGTTTACTTGTATCCTGTGGTTGCTTTTGCACTGTAATGGTATAGTTACAACAGAGGTAGTATGGTGAGCAAAGCCTTAAATATTTACTACCTGACCATTTATATGACCCGGTCTTAGACAATATGGATTGTCACAAACTGATCAGGCAGTGGTTGGTTTGGATTTGTAAGACTTAGAAAGGAGTTACTGCATTTTTTTTTTTTTCATTGTTTTTCTCATGGTAAAATCTTTTTAAGAACTCCCCTCCAAAAGCATCTGGGAAGGATGCATGCTCAGTCTCTTCTTGTTAACATTAATCCCGTGGTAGTCAGTTTGTAGCTTTTGTTTTATTTACCCCGTGAAAAGTCTATGGAGTCATGAAAAGAGAAGAATTGGCCATCTGTTCATCTTCTACCTTAGCTCCTCAGCATAATGTTTTACATTGTTAATGTTGTCACACCCACCCACCGACCTAAATGTTATTCTAGCAGCTTGCTGTAGATGGGGGATGTCACCTGAGGATTTCTGACAGGGCTCAGAATGCTGAGGGTGACCTTTACAGGTCCGTAAAGTCTTCAAGGCCTTTTCTTGGTACAACTCATGATGTCTGTTGTTTAGAAAATTGCAGTCCAGCATCTACTTTGAGAAAAGGAGGGTTTCAGGCTCAGGCCATAAGCTGTAGGAAACATGGCCTCAGTGGAAGAGCAACTGGTTATGACTCTGTTGCAGCTCCGGTGACCAATCAGCCAGTGACACCCAAGGCCCTCACAGCAGGACAGAACCGACCCCACCCTCCACACATCCCCAGCCATTTTCCTGAGTTCCCGGATCCCCACACATACATCAAAACTCCGGTGAGTGATGAGGCCATAGTGGGGCTGTGACTGAGGTAAAACAGAGCCAGTTGCCACTGACTGGAGCTCAGAAGTTGGTAAATGAGTTATCAAGAACTTAGAACTGAGCAACAGTTTGGTGAATGAGAATTCTCGAATTTACTGACAGGAGTTTAATTACCAAAGACATTGAAGTGACCCAGTCTTGCCTGTCCCACCAAAACATAAAAGTACCTGTTGTTTGCTGTTGAGTCGATCCTGACTCATAGTGATCCTGTATAGAATTTCCAAGGAGCAACTGGTAGGTTTGAACCACTAACCTTGCGGTTACAAGTTCAGTGCTTATCCTATAGCACCACACCAGGACTCCAGAAAAGCATCTAGCCACATCGAAAAAGACCAGAAGAATATTCCACAAAATGTTCTTAGTAATTCTTGATGAAGTTATAGGTAATTGCTGTTTTGTGTCTGCTCTTCTGGATTTTTCTGATATCCCATAATTGAAAAGGTATTTTCAATATGCAGGGGAACCCTCGGGACTATGGCCCTTAGATGCTCTTTAAACTGGGAACTGAACCCACTCCCTGAGATCATCTTTCAGCCAAACAATAGACAGACTATAAAGTGAACACTAATAGCCCTAAGGAACGTGCTTCTCAGAAGAGTCAACTACACGAGAGAAGGACAGCATGTGCCCCCAAACCAAGTTCAGAAGGCAGGAAAGAGCAGGAAAGATTGGCAAATGGAAACGGGACACCCAGGGAGGAAGTGGGAATTGCATTCAGGGAATTGCAACTAATGTCACGAAACAAAGTGTGTTAAAATTGTGGAACGGAGCATTAATTTGCTCAGTAAAATATCACCCAGACCACAATAAAACATTCTAAATAAGTAAATAAAATCCAATCAAGGGATGAAAGGTTATTGAAAAGAAAAATAAAAAACCAAGCAATTTACTAATAGCATGAAGTGGACCTTGTAAGTCTCTGAATTCTAAGTCTGAATAAGGACAGGTTGAGTGGTCCTTTCTGGTTCGTATGTGTTCTTAATGGCCTAACTAGCAGTTTCACTTGCTTTGGCAAGGTGCAGTGTGTAGAGATGTTCCTAGAGGCATTATCTACTCTTAATCCCCGACCCCCACCTGCACACAGGGTAATGGTGTAAATATGACCACTGTGCGGGCTGTTGGGGCAAGTCATCTGGGCCATTTCTCCACACCTCAGGATACATGTAGGAGGAAAAGATAGTACCTTCCTCTGCAACACAGAATTGCCCTTGATCAATAGTGCCTGCACTCTTTTGTAGTGTACTCCTCTCAGTAAGAATATAAGTACTCCAGTATTTGGGGAATCCTGGTGTGGCACTGGAGGATAAGCACTCAACCTCAAGGTCAGTTTGAATTGCAGGGTTGGCAGTTCAAACTCACTGGTCGCTCCTCAGAAACCTTATACAGAGTCGCTATGAATTGGAACCGACTCAACAGCACTTAACAACAACAACAACTGCAGTATATGTTTGCCTATTTGTGGTTGTGTTGGTGTTGTTTGCCATCAAGTCAGCAACCCTATAAAACTGCCTGATAGGATTTCAGGTCTTTTCTCCTGTGAAGCAGCTGAAGAGTTCAAACCACCCATCTTTAAGTTAGCAGCTGAGCGCTTAACCATTGCAGCACCAGACCTCCTTCATTTGCTTATTTACTGAGTATCATAATGTAATGCTGTACTAAAATAAGGTCCCTGGGTGGCACAAGCAGTGTGCATTCAGCTGCCAACCAAAAGGCACCAGGAAGAAAGCCCTGGCAATCCACTTCTGTAAGATTACAGCGATTAAAAACACCATAGAGCCCAGTGCTTACTATAAAATACAGGGGGTTACCATGAGTCTGAATTAACTCCACAGTAAAATGGGGGGGGGGGGTGTACTAAAATAACAGATATTAAAATGTCATCTCGTTATTAAAAACAATAAATCTGCTGACTTTTTAGTGGGAACCATGGGACTGCTTCTATTTTGGATTTTCTAAAACCTTTATTTTTAAATAATAAATTGGAGATCTGATCTAAGATCAGTTTATTTTGATACTTTAATGACTCTCTTAGTTAAAAAGGGTGCATCACCAGAAGACATATACCAGCATTGACAGCTCCAAACATAATCGTAGAACAAATCTTCTCACGCTCATCTACCAATTATGCAGAGTTTTGTCTTTTCTCTGAAGTTAGACTTCTTGAATGTCAGTTGTTTTAAGATTATGTATGTTTCACAGGTTTTTGAAAAGAGTTTGCATGTTACTATTTTTCGCAAGTATGTTCAGAATTCATTTTGATAAGATTTTAAATACATTGTAAAATTCTGTTTTTTCTGTCATGTGCTGATACAGGAACTTGTTTAGGTGACACACTTGAATTAACATTGACAACATTAACAGCGGAAATGTCTCCAAGTTCTGCCTTTCAAAACCCTTTCTTCAGATCAGGAAGGGTAGTAACTTTCTTGGTCATTGTTAAAATGTCACCTTTACCATTAACAATTTTAAATGTTCTGGCTAACTTCTCAGTTTGATTGCTGTTGTTGTTAAGTGCTGTGGAGTTGGTTGTGACTCATAGCAACCCTGTATAGGGTTTCCAAGGCTTTAACGGTTTGTGGAAATAGCCTCATCTTTCTCCCATGGAGCATCGAACCATGAACCTTGTGGTTTGCAGTCCAGTGCTTATCATATGGAGCCACCATGCTCCTTTCAATCTGATTAGATCTTATTTATTTTTCACCCATAATGTAATTGCCAAAGAATCAGGAGAAAGGGAGTGTTAGCCTAGCTGTTTCCTTATCACTTGCTTTTAGAGTAATATCTTCCACTATTCTTTTAAGAGGCGCTCTGGTAGCGTAGTGGTTATGTACGAATCGGGCTGTGAACCACAAGGTCAGCAGTTTGAAACTACCAGCTGTTCCGCAGGAGAAAGAGGAGGCTTTCTGCTCCAGTAAAGATTTACAGCCTCGGAAACCCTATACAGGGTCGCTATGAGTCAGAACCGACTCCATGGCACATAACAACAACAACATTCTTTTAAGAGAGTCTTTTCTTAACAATATATCCATTTCTTGAGGATTGGTTTAAGAAAGATGATATAATTCACCAATCCACTTAACCACTCACATAAGTCAGGATGCTACCCTACACTGAAGAAACCAAGTGATCCCCATCAGAGCTTTGGGGCCAGGGAGTGGGACACTCCCACTCTTCCTTTAGGTGAGCTGCTCAAAGCTGAGATCAGCTGTCACAGGAGCTAAGTGAAGGCTCGAGGCCAATCTTCTTCATTAAATATTTTTATGTTAAATCATTTTAAGCTTAAAAATCAGTATTAATGGTGGTTATATTGTAGCCTTTCTGACATTTTACCATTCTTTGTGAATCTGCTTAAATAATGGGAGTAGGTCATTTTAGAGGGTGACAATACGTAACACAGAGCAGAATGATGCTTTGATGCCCTAGTGAACTGTGCTGTTCTCTTTGTAGACCTACCGAAAACCTGTGTCAGACTACCAGGTCCTACGGGAGAAGGCTGCATCCCAGAGGCGCGATGTGGAGCGGGCACTCACCCGTTTCATGGCCAAGACAGGCGAGACCCAGAGTCTTTTCAAAGACGATGTCAGCACGTTTCCACGTGAGTGTGGCTCCCCTCTCTGTGGACTCGGTCTTGTCATCTGAGATAGTCACATCATCTACCTTGTCTGTCGGTGTGGTAGAAAGAGACAGCCTTTTGTTCTTACCTTGGAAGATGCTTGTTCCTCAGATTTCTAGCTCTTTTTCCCAAGTCATAAGGGCCTGCCCCTAACGATGACCCTGAAACAACAGCCTCTCTTGGGATTGGCTGCCTGAGGTACGCTGACTTTAGTTTCCCTGGAGTGCAGCATAGCTTTGGCATCTGAGAGGTTCATGCAGAAGTGGCAATCCAAGTAGTAGAAGGGGCACTGTCCCCAGGAAGCAGGATTGACTGCACAGTCCCTGCCAGGCTTTGCCCTTTATATGTCCTTCCCCCGGACCATCTCATTTCATTTCGGAGTCAGGACTGCATTTGGCGGCATAATCGAATTACTTCATCTTCATGCTCCTGTGGTGATTCTGACTCCTGGTAAACCCATGTGACAGACTAGACCTGCCTAAGAGGGTTCTAGGGTACAATCTTTATAGAAGCAGATTGCCAGACCGTACTTCTACAGAGCTTCTGGGTGGGCTCTAACCAACCACCAACCTCTCAGCAGCCAAGTGCTTAAGTGCCGTGCCACCAGGACTCCTTAGACTTCAGTTCCTACAAATCTGAATGAAGGAGATTGGTTTGGGTGATTCATAATTCAACAGACTCCTATTAAATGTCTCCTTTGTGCCTGACCCTGGAATATTTGTTGCTGTTAAGTGCCATGAAGTCGGTTCCAACTCAGCGACCCTGTCTAGGGTTTCTGAGGAGCAGCTGGTGAGTTTGAACTGCTGACCTTGTGGTTCAAACCGACCTTGCTGTCCAGTGTTTATCCTTCAGCACCACACCAGGCACCTAACATTTATCACCAGGCAGCATGCTAATCTTCTCTCATACATTATCTCATTAACTCCTCTCCTGAGCTTAGGAGTTAGAAACTGTCACCACTGTCTAGAACATCAAGACTTATGAAAGAGAGAAATGAAGTAACTTGCCCAACGTCACACAGCTAGCATGTGGCATTCAAACCTAGCTCTTTCTGACTGCAGAACCCACATCTTAGCCATATTGAAAGTAATCTTGACTATCTTCCAACAACTGCATCTGCCATCGATGTATATGTTGAGACTTAACTTTCTTTTTAAATGTCTGCTTGTTCATCTGTCAAATAAGTTCTGCCCCTCCTCCCCATTGCTTTTTGGAAGAACTGTTATTCCATTGACCAGTGTCCTATAGCTCAGTGGGCTTACATGTAGAGAGTTCTCAAGTCCAGCATTTGGACTTGAGTCCATCCGGCGCTAAGAATCATGTTCATACTCTGGAAATACGGCCAAGAGGGGCTAACTCACCAGATCATAGAGAGGATGCATTGCTAGGACTCAGCCCCAGTCCTGGTCTGACTTCAGTTGTGCTTGCTCAGAGCGTGGGCTCTGCAGTCACACTGCTTGAGTTTGAATCCCACTTGGTCAGTTTCTGTGTGTTTGAGGCAGTTACTTAACCTCTCTGGGCCTCAGAGAGGATGGTAACTGTACTTACCTAATAGGGTAGGCCTAAGGAGCTCTGGTAGTGTAATGGTTACGAATCAGGCTGCGAACCTCAAGGTCAGCAGTTCGAAACTACCAGTGGTTCCACAGGAGAAAGATGAGGCGTTCTGCACCCGTAAAGATTTACAGCCTCGGAAATTCTGTACCGGGTCGCTATGAGTCTGAACCGACTCCACGGCACATAACGACAACAACAATAGGGTAGGCCTGGTGTGGTGTTATAGGATAAGCACTGGACCTCAAGGTCGGTTTAAACTGCCAGGTCAGACTTACCAGCTACTCCTCCGAAACCCTATACAGGGCCTCTATGAGTCGGAACTGACAGCACTTAACAACAACAGGATAGTTGTGAGCATTAAAGCCAGAGGACAGCACCGGCCCATACTAAGTGACCAGTACTGGTGCTGCTTGCTGATGGGTGGCGAGGCCCTCGGCCTGCTGCAAGGCCTCCATGACGGTGGAGCAGTTGTGCCTGTCTTCTGTTCGCCCAGTGATTGCTGCCAGACCGTTCACCATCCCCTACCTGACAGCCCTTCTTCCGTCTGTGCTGGAGATGCAGCAAATGGAAGAGACGGATTCCTCGGAGCAGGATGAGCAGCCAGACACGGAGAACCTCCCTCTTCACATCAGTATGGTAGGTCCTGCCTTATGTCTGCCTCTGATTACCCCCCAAACTGGTCCATGTCGTCCCCAGCCTCGTACCTTGGAAATCGAACCTGACCTACCCCAGATCTCTCGCTAGGAGCTTGTGTCATGGGTCCAGGATGATCCAGGTGTGACCTGACCTCCATCCTGAGGAAGCAACCCATGTCCTGGAGTCACTCAGTGATTCAGCGGAGGTTGAAATGAGCCTCATGGTCAGGGCCAGACACAGTTGTGGTGCTAGGCGATTTGTAGGAATTAAAATAGAATTCCCCGGCCTCGTGCAGCGAAGGTAAAACTAATGCGTTAGGAGATAGGAAGTGGATGTAGGGACAGGGTGGGTGGGGATGCAGTTCACAGTTGCAGGGTGACATGTGAGTCAAGGCCTCAAGGGAACAAGGCTTGCAGATACGTAGGTTGAGCGAACAGCCGATGCAAAGACCTTGAGGTGGGAGCATGTCTGTTGTGTTGAACAGCGAGGACACCAGGGTGGTCAGAGTGAAGCAAGCAGGGGTGAGACCAGTAGGGGTCAGAGGACTAGTGGTGATGGTGGTGCATGTGGAATCGGTTCCTGTATAGGGTTTCCAGGAGCAGAAAGCCTCATCTTTCTTCTGCAGAGTGCCCTTGTGGATTCAAACTGCTTGCTGATCTTGCAGTTAGCAGCCTAACTCATAATCTGCTATACTACCAGGGCTCTTGGAGGAGTCCAAGTAACATTAAAGAGAAAGTGGTATAGCGAGTATTTGTTGTTGTTAGGTGCCATCAAGTCGGTACCGACTCAGAGCAACTTTATGCACAGCAGAACGAAACAATGGCCTGTCCTGGGCCAACCTCACTGCTGTTGCCACACTTGAGTCCATCGATGTTGTTACCTGGCCAATCCTTCTCGGTGAGAGTCTTCCTTTTTTTCTCTGACCCTCCATCTTACCAAACACAATGTCCTTCTCTAGTGACTGTTCCCTCCTGACAATACGTCCAAAAGTAATGAGAGACTAAGTTTAGCAATCTTGGTCTCCAAGGAGCACTCTGGCTGCACTTCTTTCAAAACAGATCTATTGGTTATTTTGGCAGTCCATGGCACTTTTAGTATTCTCCTGCAACACCATAATTCAAAGGCATCAATTCTTCTACTGTCTTCCTTATTCACTGTACAGCTTTCACATGAATATGAGGTTATTGAAAATACCATGGCTTGGGTCAGGCGCAACTTAGTCCTCAAGCTGACATCTTCACTCTTCAACACTTTAAAAAGTTCCTGTGCAGCAGATTTGCATAATGCAATAGGTTGTCTGATCTCTTGACTGCTGCTTCCATGAGTGTTGATAGTTGATCCAAGAAGAATGAAGTCCTTGACAACTTCAATCTTTTCTCCATTGATAACTAACATAATCATTTAAACTTAGTCAAAATTAAATAAAACAAGCAATTCTGCGCCTAAGTTACACTTGCCAGCGTCTAGTAGCATTGGATGGCCAGTGACCCCATTCTGGACAGTATAGCTGTCAAACCTTTCCATCATCACAGAAAATTCTGTTAGACAGTACTTGTGTAGACAGTTGCTTTAAGAAGGGTAAAGGGCAAGTAGATGAGAATTAAGGAATGGTAAGAGTTTTGTGGGTTTGTTTCTAAGAGACAAGAAGTAGCAGGTGTGTTAGAAGATAGAGGGATTGGGAGCAGAGAGAGAACTTCTTGGATCTTTTGGTAGGGGAGAAGGGAATGGGATCTAGAGCCTCAGTGGAGCGTCCGCCTTCCTGTGGAGATCTCACACCCAGGAAGGAGACAGTGTGTATGGTACAGAGACAAACGTGGGTGGAGAAATGGCCTGGTCAGAGCTTGTTGTGGACATTATTTTCTGTTTATTGATGGATGGCCCCTCAGCAAATAAAAAGATAAGACCCCACTCTTATTCCCACCTCCTGGGAGAACATGCCAACTCTCAAAAATGACTGAAGCCCTAATGGTGTTTAAGATTTACAGGATTCATAGAGTCAAATTTCCATATTCAGCCATCCTTTAAATTGATCGTGGGTTTTATGTGTATGTATGTATTTTTTATTTTATTGGTTTTTCGTAAGCCCTCGGGTACTTCTTAACCAAGGAAGTAACATAATTCAATTTGTTTTTAAAAGATCTTTGGCTTTGTTATGGAGGATGGTATTTTGTTTTGATGGAAAAATTCCATGATCTTCTCATTTCAGTTTTCCATAAACTTTTTAAAGCCCCATTCATTTGACAGAACATTTACCATTTTAGCTTGTTTTACGTGTATAATTCAGTGGCATCAGTGACATTCACCGAGTTGCGCACCCGTCACCATTTTTCGTTTCCAAATGTTTTTTTCACCCCAACAGTGAGTCTTGTTCCATAAGCAGTAGCTCGCTGTCTTAGTCTCCCACCTGCCCCAGTGAACCACTAGTAAACCTTGGTCTCTATGCATTTGCCTAGAAGTGGGTTGGCTGTGATTTTGAAGAAAAGCCAACAACCTCAGTAGTCGTAGTTGGTTGGATGGGTGTTCCTCATATTCTCCTAAAATGGGCAGTATCACTTAGCAGCTGCAGTTTGTGGGTGGAATTCACCAGTGCCATCTCTATTTGCAGAAGCTCTGCTTTGCTTGAAAACACTTTTTTTTTTTTTTTTTACTATTTTTTATTTTGAATTGGGTGAAGGTTTACAGAGCAGATCACCAGTTTTCCATTCACCAATTCAGACACATTTGGTTTCATCTCACTGATTGCAGTCTCCTCAATGTAACATCACTCATCCCACTTCCTCCCTGTGTTTCCTGTTTTCATTTCTCCTCCTTTTCTAACCCTTCTGAACTTTGTCCCCAGGTAAATGCTGCCCTTTTGATCTCAAATGGCTGATTTTTCTTAGATGTGTGTACCTCACATGGTTACTGTTCCCCTTATAGACCTGTCTGTTGTTTGGCTGTAAATTGTGTCCTGGGGGAGAGCTCAGTTCCAGACCTGAAGGGAGACTAAGAGCCGTAGTCCCAAGAGTTTCACCATTCTCTGTCCAGCCAGTCAGGCTGGAGTCGTTTGTATTTTTAACTTTTTATTGTGAACCGAGTGAAAGTGAATAGAAGAGATCATCAACTTTACATTTAACAAATAACACACTTGGTGTCCTCTCAATGATTACACTCTTTTACCTGTAACAGTGTTATCCTGCTTCCTCCCTGTGCCTTCCCTTGTACATTCTGTATTACACAAATGAGCAAAGCAAAAATGTTTGATGTATACACACAAAACAAAAAATATATATTCGTTTAAAAGTCCTAAAAGCATATTCTGCAAGCCCGCCTCCTGCCCGCAAGCCCTGGTGTCTTTCATGATTTTGAGTTTTGTTCCACATTTTTCTCCCACTTGATCTAGTATCTTCTAATGTGATCCCTTTCAGAACCGTTTGTCGTTTTGGCTGGGCACCATCTAGTTCTTCTGGTCTCTAGGTCAAGGAGACTGATGTTCACATCATCCACTATTCCATTAGATTATTGTTTCTATGTGTCTAATTTTTTTTTTTAAAGCACGTTCTTTAAGGTTGGTTTATTCCTTACAGAATCTGAGCTGGGAACCCATGGATTTAAATGAGCAGAGGAAGTCCTTATTCCTCACTTCAGTTTTAGACATGCCTCATTTAGGATAGACACAGTGTTTGGGTAATAGGCTAATTTGAGAAGTAGAAATCTTCAAAGCAAGCATTACCAAACATTTGTAAATCCAGTGTAGTTAGAGGGCTGTTAGATGTGCTGTCCAATAATCCAGGGAGTGACAGAAGGTGAAGTCATGATGTCGAATGAACTGAGTGTCAGGGGTATCCTGAGGATTCCTGGTCACCAAGAAGCTGTCTGGGTTTAGACAGCAAAGACTAGAGAGACCTGAGTGCTCCCTGGAGTCAGACTGGCCTGGCACTAAATACAGACTCTGTTACTCACCAGCTCTGAGTCTGGTTGTATCACCTAACATCTGAGTCTGCTTCCTCACAAGTACAAATTGGAATAGGAAATCCTGCTGCCAGGGAGGAAGAATGGAAGCAGACACATACAGTAGAGTCTATGAAAGCTGAAGCTTGTGTAAAGCAGAGAAACCTGTCAGAGAAGGAATACTCAAATGTATTCCAGCAGAGTGAATGATAGAAAAATGTACTTTCAAGTCCTGGCAAACCAGGCAGTCCTGTCTTGTTCAAGGAGCTCTGGTAGCATAGTAGTTACAAATCGGGCTGCTAACCTCAAGGACAGCAGTTCGAAACTACCAGCCGTTCCGCGGGAGAAAGATGAGACTTTCTGTTCCTGTAAAGATTTACAGCCTCAGAAACCCTGCACTGGTTCGCTATGAGTCAGCATCACTGACTCCATGGCACATTAACCACCTCGGTCTTATTCAGGTTTCAGGTGCCAGTAAACACCTGGTAACACATGATATACTTTGTTCCCTCCCCCTGCTTTTTTTTTTTTTTTTAATAATATTTTGTTGAGTTTTTGGTAAAAGTTTACACAGCACGTTAGGTTTCTGTTTGACAATTTCTATTATGTTATGTTATTCACAGTGTGGCAACATTTTCTTTAATTCCATTTTGGTTGTTCTGTTTCCAGTAACTAGTTGCCCTGTCCCTTTTTTTGCCCTCATCTTTACTTTACAGTCATTGTTGAGCTTTTGAACCTCTCCTACTATTTTAGGATCCATAACCACATTCCCTTTTGTTTCTTTGTTAAAGGAAAAAAATACTTCAAGAAAAATAATTCAGCATCAGTTTGTTTGGACTTAAAACAATTTTTTTAATGTTATTTTATTGCACTGGGAAATACAATAGGTTTCAAAATTCAGAATGCACGAAAAGTTGGCATCTTCCTCCAATCCCTGTTTCCCTTCATCCAGTTTTCCTCCCACAAAGCGACTAGTCACCAGTTGCTTGTGTATCCTTCTAGAAGCATTGTTTTTATTTCATTTTAAGCACAAATGGTAACAAATCTCCTTGCATTTTTTCCATTATCTC